TGACCACACCCCGTATTTTGACAGCAGTCACCTAGAGAGGGCGAACTGCGAGGACTACGGTCCCGGCGAATTTGTCATCGAAAAATTTAAGTCCTCCTTTTTGGCAGCCAGAGACCGACACACAGGGTCAAACAATCGGCCAGGTATTTGTCTCGCCTACACGAGGCTGCGCTTGGTGGCAGCATGCGAGAAACTGAGCCATGTGTTAGGAGCCTCGACATTTTTCTGTGAAAATTCGACAAACACCAGACTGACCAACAATCCTAACTACGTCACCCGAGATCTGACACGCATGAGCCCATGACTATGGAACTTCTACTTCAGAAATCATCTTCTCAAGTGTAGATGTGTCACACTTTTCGTGTCATATTTACGAACCATTCCAAATCTTAGCTTCCTCAGTACATAAACATGGTCGGCGTCTGACTTGGCTGGAGGATTTCTCCACTGTCATCATTGAAGTGCAAATCTTCTTTTCAGAAACTCTCCTGATCCCGAATTGAATGTTCGAGTAGTGCCCTTGGTTACTGAAAGCATACGTGCACATATGTTATAACTTTCAAAATAATTAGTCGTATTTATGGGGCCTTAATACTTGGAAAAGCTGCAGAACGCTTCCGGCTATCAAACCTATCTGAGAATCCATCCGTAGCTACCGACATCTCTCTCTTTCCCAAGCAGGCTTTGCCAAGGGATTTTAGTAGAATTCTGCACAAAAATGCGGTAATGTGCATGTCGCTGATCACCGCCGCTTACCCTCATTGCAGGCCATGTTATCATTGCCATCAGAAATGAGGACGTAATCGGCTGCACACCGGCATTCATTCTTTCTGCGGTCGCAGAAGCTGTTGCCGTAGAGTTTGCTGCAGAGGGAATCACCGACGAGCTGACAGTTAACTGCGGACATGCGTTGAAGAAGGGAACTACCAGGGGCAGCGGAGATGCAACGGATAAGGAGGATGAGGAGAATGTTTAACTCCGGGGGGAATGACCAGGGAATCACTGTTCTCATAGGGGTGTGTAATTTCTAGGGCTCGAAAGCTCTGCTGTTTAGTAGAGCATTGTTTGTGTTCTTTCGTGCAGTAGACAAAGCTAGCAACTTCCCTGGAGTGCCCGAATGAGTATTTATAGTAGTTGGGCGGAGTTTGGGACTGGCTCGATTCTTCGTTGCAAAGAGATTTATCCATCCAATCATAGAGCGCCATTAGATATATGCATGCCTTATCAAAGTGATGATTGGCCTAAGCTATAATAGGCCTTCTTGTGGCACAAAGGACTAATCCGTAATTTCCCGCTTGTTTCCCAACTTTATGCATCCAGAGTATTGCTGCTAATTAAAGAAGCAACTCTAGCGATGCGTTCGCCAGGAATATTTAGTCAGTTTAGTTTTAAAAATCGGCTTGTCATAAAGGCGTTGCCGAAAAATCAACGAGTTGACTTCCCCCAAGCGACCATGATTATCAATCAGCTTGCCAGCTTTGTGATATCAATTATGTCGCCATTAAATGTCGGCGATCCGTACTGCCTCAGAAGGGTTTCACTGAAGGTGTTGGGTATCGTAAACTATGGAATTAACACTACATACTACGTTCCGTCTTCAAGCATGCAACCATATGCAAGGCGATGGCTTCAAAGAGTGCTTATAAAAAATATACTTTTATTATAAAAACCATAAGATCTATTTTCCCATCGGTCCGGGCACAGTAAGTATTCAATCGACTACATTGAATTCTAAAAATAAGTAGAACGCTTCTACTGTCCTCGGTATATTTGGGCGTACTATTATCAGAGGAATAAAGTCGGGACATCAGTATCAACGCAGACTATAGCAAACTGAAGTAACTGAACAATTTTGCAACAGGCTTGGCTAGACTATCCCCAGCTCCAAAGCTGAAACGAAACTAAAGAAATGTTTTCACGCAATTTTGCAAAACAAAGGGTAAACTCGGGCTACATTCCTCTCTGCATAATAAATACGGAAAAAATAACTATAGCAGTAATGTTCGGCATCTGTATGGATGACTGAATGTGATATTCCGCACTATCAAATAGTGGGTAGGCATTTGCATTTGGGTTCTTCCAAGGCGTCAGTGGTCATTTTCAAAATTTTAAGTACCTCACCTAAGCAGACATTATAAATCTTGGCCCATAAAGACTGAATTTGCATAAAACGAAACATGACAACTGCGTCCGCCTGCTTTTATCGTCACACCGCCTTTCAGCTCCGTTATCACTTATTCGGATATTTTGATATCCAAAACAACCCCCTCCCAAACTCAACCTCGGCTGATTGAACGGCTCGATAAAACCACTGCTACGTGGCAAGGAGAAGAGAGAATTAGAGGGGGAGAGTAAGGTGGACTGCCGTCGCATATTTCTCACAATAAGCAATCTGACATGCCTGAATTTAGCACGGTGCGCTAGAAGCCGAGACTGGGAAGGTTGGCAGCTGACGGGATAATTCCGACCAGACAGTCAGCCCAGTAGTGTGTTTGTGTTTTGAATGGCCGATTGGTAAAATGCAATGGCGCTCTCATGCCTCTGAGATCCGATCCGCGTAGTCCCCTTCTGTAAAGTCCTGGTACTTGGCGAAAGGACTGTGTACGGGCAAAATGAACGTTTTAAGCACATCGCACTTTCCTCACCACAAACAATTCGACGCACTTTTAAACTATTTGGGTCCACTAAAATTCATAACTAGGAAGGCTCCCATGCGACAGGATAACTCGTTCCTCCTCCTAAGCAGGAAAGTCCAGCTGTAATGGCTCCCTCTTAGTGGGATTCGAGCTGCCCCCGTCCTGCTGTGTGAAATTCTGGTCCCTTGTGCGCAGGCAAGGGGTGTGCGGCAACAGTAGGTGGGTTAACTCATGAAATGTCAACCGAAATTCTGAAATGCTTTTTCTATTTGACAAAAGTAATTAATTAGTGTTGTAAAACTGGTCAGCCTGCAATGCAACTCTTTAATATTTCGGTTACCTCAGGATGCCGGCTTTCGAACGAAATTCCTTCCGGCTGCATGCAAAAACAATACTCTGTAAAAAATGACTACGCATTTAGCATGAATTTTTCTCATTGGTTTTCGATGCCCCTAAAAGACCAATTATATTTCATGAAAAACTTGCATATAAATATTCATTCTTTTGCTCATTTGGTATTCATTTAAGACTTCTTCAAATTTTATAGTGGAAGGAGGGACATAATTCAGTTTTAAAATCTTTTCCGATTCCCGAATAATTTTCAGCCTGCTCTTCCGTTAAACTTGAATTCAGAGTTTCTAAACTACAAGCCGTACATTTTCCACGTACGCAAAGCCACACACACCTCTACGGTAATAAGGGGAACTATATAGGGTCCATAAAATTTAGCAGTGGATTTGATCCATATTGTTAAATTTACAAATCACGTTGGTAAATGCAGAGACATGATGATTTATGAACGGTCATTTCACGGTATTTAAATGTTCCACAATTAGAAACTTTTTTTAAAACCGATTTATGTCCCTCCTTTGAGTATAAAATTACATGATGACTAAAGTGTCTACCAAATGAGCAAAAAATGAATATTCATATTCATGTTTTCCATGAAAAATGACTGGACTTTTAGGGACATCGAAAGTCAATGAGAAAGATTCATGCTACTTACGCAGTCATTTTTTGCAAACTGTAGTTTCTGCATGCAGCCGGAAGGAAGTTTATTCGAAAGCCGACTTCCATAGGTAACTGAAATATTACAGAATTTTGTTGCCTGCTGACTGTTTTACAACACTACGTAATTAATCTTTCCGAAACGAAGACGAATTTCGGAAGTTTGGTCGACATTTCATGAGTTAGCCAGCCGTCTGCCACTCCCCCCATCTCCGTCCTCTTTGACTCGGCCACGACACTGAGCTCAGGTTGGAGAGGGGAGAGTGCGGTAGATTCAGCACAAGTCCTTCAGCCCCATCAACTTGTCCACAATCAAGTTACTGTCCTGGAGATCTTGCTAATCACCCTGAACCCAGCGCCAGTCCCGGTTATTTACAAGTTGGATAGCATGCACGCTAAAACCACACACCTTTTAATGCCAATGACGGACACCTCAGAACAATAGTCTCGAGCTGTACTGTTGCTAATGGAAAATGTTTATTGAAAAGTTGTAAAATATGCCCCCCTCCCTGCATAACGGACAACTATACAACCGCTTAAAAGGTTGCCAATTGACGATCCAACCCGGCCCTCGAAGTTAGCTCAAACGTGTATTTATGTGAAGTGATCGACTGGTGGACTGAGAGTCAGACTGCAGTGCCTCCTTCTTAGTGTATAGCCTTTATTTCACTCAGTAAGATTCCAGTCAGTGTGGTGGTGCGCGTTTTCGCCGTGCTAGCCACATGTGTCCCCTCCCTCCTCTGGTCTTCTTGACCTTGTCATAACGCCCGACTTAGGTGAGTGAGGAAGGTTGGTGGTAGATTCTGCAAATGTCCAATATCACTAAAAAAAAATCTAAGGAGTCTAGATGTTCCCTGCCATGGCAATGGGCCTTTGGTCCCATTAACACGCAGAGCCAAACATGCACCTTGCCACACCTTTAAAATCGAACTTCTCGCAAGAGGTGACGATCGCGTGAGCCGCAAGCTCCTTGAGTCCTGGTTCGTCGACCCGCATTCACAGGTGCAATGACCTTCCTCTTCCATATTCATCTCTGTGATGTTGCCTGGGCCAAATAATTACCCACGCAGGGAGGGCACTGATCATCAATATTTTCGGCGAAAGTGAGCCAAATGGCCAACAAATCGTCACACCAAGGATCAATAATGGTGGTGAAATCCTGGCAATTAACGACTCGAGTAAGGAAGGACTGGCAACCATCGCATCGAATACTACGCCCAGTGATTGTATGTGGATTCCAGGCCACTGCATCCTATGGATGCTTCGAGCCTTGTGCTTCTGCTACGTCCTTCTGTGACTGTTTCTGATGATGGGCCCCAGTGAGAGTCCGAAACGTCAGGTCCATTAAAGTTCTTCTTCCAGCGACCATATCGCCCCCTTCTGAACTGGTTCCTGGGACTCGCCAATTTACTTCTATTAGCACAGTTGTGTGTGCTTTTAGCCGTAATGCGTCCTTTGTGCGTGATCACCTATGATATGCATTTGCCCACTTACTTCTGCTTGAAAGGAAAATTTACTAACCGAAATAAGAGAATTTTTGCTGCATCTGGCAACAGTAGGTTGTGTAACCCCACTTCGCAAATAGTAACCCTAGTCTCCTATAATACGAGGATGGTGGTAATAGGGGTTTTACGGTTGGGACATCAACACGTACAGGGAGTTAAATTCATACAGTTACATTTACAAAATATATCTATGCTCACCGAAATTCCTCCTTTACACCTACATATAGCAACGGAGCGATCGCGCTACTTAAAAAATAAATGAAAGGTAGTTCTCAATCCACCACCTGCAAGTTTGTGACATCCCGGGGAGCAATGAAACGAACACCCAACAGGAGGGAGGAACAGTAAGTGCCAGATATAGTTACTTTGAAAATTTCCTGCAGTGTGACGTGGGGCACATGAATTTTAGGGAAGCTATGGAAACACACCCTAATGAACAGGGAAAAAGCAAATAACGTAGGCATGGACGCCCGTTTGTATCTCCATAACGCGCCAACAACTAGTACAAAATAAAAATTTGAGAAAAACAAAAACAAACAAACAAATGGGTCCTTTGGGAAACTTGACAAAACTTTTTCCTGCAACGTTTTTCCAGGCGGCGCTGGACGTGCATCACGTGTAAAAAACAATTAAAATTTTAAATTTACCTAAAGAATAGAAATTTCATTGTCCGTGGTTCAAATGAATCTGTGCTGGGGGCTCACATAATGTTTTGATTAGCAATTACCTTCTTCATTTTTCATTGAGATTTCTGCACATAGTGTCTGAATTTGTTTGACAACTTATGCATGAATCTTTTAAGTGTGTGGCCTCAAAAAATTCTCTGCCTTTCTTAGAAAGGCAGAATTTCACAATGCGTTTTT